ATATTTCACATATTTCATGGCATTAATAAACTTATGCTCATATCTCCCCCTAATGCCATGAAATCATCTTCATGTATTATGCAAAACACGTATCAAATAATAAACTGATCCTCATAAGGGCCTCTAGGTATTAAAGATTCAACGGAGTATAAAAAAATATAGCATACCTAGTTTGTAATATAGGCCCATAAAGGTACGAATTTGTGGTGATAAAAAAAATGTAACAATAAATTGCAGATGGGAAATGCTTGATTTTCCACGCATTTTAGGGGGAAATTTTCATAAATAATTGCCCAATATGATCCAACTGCTCATGCTAATTATCAATATATAAGTTGGGCATCGAAGTATTATACTTTGCTTGTGAGCCTTTTATTGTAGCTATAAACTATATTATATGCTTCAGGCACCACATATAAATTAACATTATAGCTATCAACAATATAAGTCTGTGGTATGCATCTCATCAAATATACAAGCAAACATAAATAATTTCATAATACTTTTGTATAGATTCAATCTATGTAACATTCTGGTTACATAACTTCATTAAAAGTATGTTGAATATGCAGAGCTGATCTAAAAAAAAATCACGAATTTATCAAAGATCCTCGCTAGATAATTCTTATGCAATTATGGTACTGGTCAACAGGACCAATCCTTCAAGGATAACCAAATCTAGGTCGATATTTAAATTCACTAGTGATACTTTTAATTATGTAATCCTTCAGGGAAACTCATATCTATAAGTATAAAATTCAAGAGGATATTTTCTCTGCAATTTATGACAATACAAATTGCATACCGTTCATTTCGTTCATTAGTCAATTAGACTAAAGTTGAAGATATTTAAATTGATTTAGGCTCAATAACTTTGGATCACGTCAATACTCAATACATAAAACAGCGGAATAAAATATGCAACTATTATTTTCAAACTAAATTCATGTCGTAAGTGCATATTTTGATAGCTTCACCATATATATTCCAAACAACACACACTATTCACATGTTAAAATTAATCCACATATGCTTCATGAGTAATCAGATGCATGGACAAATTAATAATATATGTGGACATTTTTATTTTATAACTCTTCAGAAGTATGACAATTGAAGCATAAGATATATAATTTTTTTTCTCGTTCTTCATCGAAAATAATCCTTACCAGAGGATATTGTCTGCTACATATATCTTACATGTGTTACCACTTTTAAATTTTAACAAGTAATGTGAAGAATGATATGATATATGCAAACAAGAGATGATCATATACAAATAAGGACAATTAAATCAAGTAAATATATAGTCTTATAGAAGATAGATAATTTTCTATCATATATCTCACATAAAAAAAAAATTATACTTTTGTATATGTGCTTCTGGCACTAGTACAATCTCAGTAAACTACTTTTATATCACTATTCGTAATATATTGTGTCCATGAG